TTTAGACTGGATTTGGCATTTTTATCCTCCTATCGAGTCCTTCCCAAGGACCTGGGATAGGCAAATGTTTTCGTTTGATGGTGTTAAAGGTATTATTATTGTTATTATTATGATCATTATTTATAAATACATAATACTTTGTTTTCCATTTTTCTCCACAATTACTGTGTTGTTTGAATTAATGACAGAAGGTAATTAAAGAACTGTAATAGTTGCCATTACTTTATGGTTGACACAACACAATTTGCTTTTTTAAAATTGCTTATTTTATTTTTGTAATTTTGTAAACTGCCTTGAGAAGGATGTTCTTTCAGGAAAAGGAGCAAGTCTACATAAATCCATCTCTATTTGGCATAAATTTGTGAAAAAGTAAACTAATGTGCCATCTAGTGTCTGTAAGTATTATTCAGCACACGAGGAACAAAATTTTAGGCATAGATAAAAGAAATCTAAAGCTACCTCATAACTTGGAACTTTATCCTTTAAAAAACAGGTTAAAAATATCTTAAGTTCTTTTATTTATTAATATATATTTTCCATGGCTTACATGAGATTACCTTCTTTTATCTTCTCATGGCTCAATCTAAAACCTAACAACTGGTCAAGAGCCACCCAATTACCAATCTTTGATTGAAAAATGGAATCCCCATTATTTTGTTAATTCTGAATTTTGTGCACAGCCCTGTGACTGTGTTTTGTGCACCTTTTATCTCCTCTTGTTCATTGATCAAATAATGCAAAAAGAGAACCAGAGAGGGGGAAAAACCCTTTGATAATCATATACCTGATTGTATCAAGATTCTTTTAATTCTATTTTGTAGCATAGAAAATAGATTATCTGGACCCTTTTCAGACTCATTCAGGCTTGGGCAAGGGACAGCATTAACGGATGAATTTTGTTGTGATCTTAACGGGGGGAAGCGTTCAGCTCCATGAATGCTCATTTATAAGGTGCCCAAGGGTTCAATCATTTCTCCAGTATTTTTCAAGATCTATCTGAAATCTCTGGGAAAGCTTATCAGTTGGTTTGGGATGTAGTATTATCAGTATGCTGATGATACAGAATTTAACATCTCCACCCTGGACTGAGCTAGAGATGCTTAAGTTTTTACCTTGTGTCTGGAAGCTTCTAGAGTCTGAATGGGACAAGTCAGGCTGAACCCTAACAACACATTGTCGCTGCTTGTTCAGAAGGGCTGATAGCTCTGATGATAACTCTGGATTGAGTGGCAATTCTTTGAAGAAGTAATTCCATGACTTGGGGGTTCTCCTAGATCGATGTCTATTGCTTGATAGACAGATGGAGGCTATAGCGGGGGCAGGGGCTTTGCCCAGTTTTGGCTGGTATGTCAGTTGTGGCTCTATCTGCAATGCCTTCTATACACATGGAAGATCACTTAGAAACTGTAATTGGTCCAAAATGCAATGGCCCATGTATTGTCACATCCATACTACAAGTGTGCTACAGGCCCTATTTTGGTCAGCATAGGTTTTGAAGTGCAATTCAAAGTGCTAGTTTTGACCTATAAAGCCCTTCACTCCAAGGCACCTTCAGGAATACTAAATTCCCTGCGTAGAATTAATCTGTCCAGGGTGTGCTTCCCAACAGAACATACTGGTGATTCTTCTACTATTGAGAAGCAAAGGGGGCTGTGACCTGCAGAGAGTGCTTCCCTGTTCTGGCTCTCATGATATGAAGTAACTTCCTGCTCAAAGCCAAGTTAGCGACCACCCTAGTGGCTTTCCAAAAATTAGTTAAAACAAAACTGTTCTGGAGGAGCTTTGGTAGTTGAGTGGATGCCATTGCACTGTATACTGATATTTTGGAATTGATTTTAAGATTGTTCTTATTGCCTTAGGAGTCACTGCAGACTACAACAGTATATAAATTGAATAAATGAACGTCTTGTGCTACTGCAAAGAACCTTCAGCATTTTAGGAGGTTGCAAAGGATGGATGGATGATTAGTGAAAAGCAGGTGCCCTGTCTTGCAGAAATACTTTCTGCTACCACAAAACTATTAGTGCATAAAACCCATGCAGGAAGTGGGCTGGTGGTGGCAGTGGCAACAACATACCTTGCTGTACTACTGTTGCAACACCCAGCAACTGTGCCTGAAAGCATTTTTTCCTCCAGAACAAGAAATGATACAAAAATCTGAGCCCATCATTTTCATTTTGGTATTAAATGGACATCATTAGGGGTTATAAATATTCATTTTCCAAGCCAAAATATAAACTTCCATGACATTATTATATTTAATGTCCAAATGATTCATTCTTTGGAAATTAGAATTCAACTGATGCTCAACAATTATAGCAAATTCGAGAATCTTTGGTGTGGCCCTTCAGCCACTTTTGAATTGCAATTCCTGGGATCTAATAACATTGACCGCACATTAGCTGTGGCTTGATTTTAAAAATCAGTTAAATTCCCCAAAACTGCTCTAGACATTATGAAAGCTAAATGAAACCAAACTCCAAAACATGGGGGAATTAAGCTAATGGTTAAATTATTAGGGATTAGAGAAAATTTTCAAGGTTTTTTTCTGCAATTTCCAGATTATGATATAAGTTTGTTTAATAATACTCTTCCCAAATATTAACTCAGAATATATAATCTATGGCACTAAATGAAATGAGTCTATGTTGGGCTCAAACTCACCAATTTAGATTTAGGATTTTAAGTTCATATCAGTGGCCTGTGTACAGAAAACACTTAACTGGGTCAGTAATGTAGTAAGCAGATTGTGAGAACCATAAATCAGTCAAGCTTAGTTGACTTTTGATGTCCTATCTTGCTCTATCTTGTTCCTTATGATGATCAATGTACACATACAACCACTGGGCAGATCATTCAGAGCATGTTAATGACACCCAGTGATATTACTCCATTCAATCCATTTCCAAGGAGTCAATATCCTTGAAGCCTAAATTTGTTCATGGGCTGGATATGGGAGAAAAAGCTGAAATTAAATCAGTGTAAGACAAACAGTCATTGGTAAATAGAAAACTGGACTTGCGGAATGAGGTTCATTCTGTTTTGGATGGAGAAGCAGCTCCTTAAAAGACCAGGTTTGCAATCTGGGAGTGCTCCTTGATTCTCAGCTATCACTAGTTTTCCAGGTAACAACTATGGCAAGGAGCACCTTCACAGAATTCTAACCAGTGAGCCAGCTATGATTGTTGCTGAACTGGTTAGATTATCCACAGATATCCATGTCCTGTCTGGACTAGTGCAATGCACTCTACATGGGCTTCCACCAAAAAATATCTGGAAGTAACTGGTACTAAATGTGGCAGCTAAGGTGCTAATCAGTGCAAGATACTGAAAAATCTGCACTAGTCTTCAGTTACCTACTGGGCAGTTATGGTGTTGACACTGACCTTTAGATACAAAACATCTTAGAGGAAGTGCTTCTCTCATTACGAATTTGTCCAGCTGTTAAAATCTTCATGCCTTTTTGCACCTGTTGTCAGAGGTACCTCTTTCCAAAGTACAATACATCTCAGTTCTCTATACTTTTGGAACCATTCTCGGAATCCCACCCGCCCAAATTCCAACAGGAAATCCTGCATGTGTTTGCATGCAGGCTGGAATGACTGCACATACACTGATTTTAGCTTCTATAATTCTCTTTGTGAAGACCTATTATACAATAAACGTTATTTGTTATCCTTTACACTAAGATTGTCCACAATTCAGCAAAATAATTTCAAGCACGTAATACATTTAAAAAAGATCTCTTCATAATTACTGGACTTGATCCAAATCACATGAACAGTTCACACAGATAATCACGCATTTCTATCAGATTATTGTATAAAGTTCCAGAAACACTTTATTTAAAAATGGAGCTGTAAATGCTTGTAACAACATACATAATAAATGTAACAAAAATAAATAAGGAGTATGCATCCATACAAATAAGAAAATTGTAAATGCAAATATTACAGAACACAAAATGTGTAAATGTCTGGAAAAGAATACACAAAAAGAATTGTGTTAAGAGTCAAAATGTTTAATTTTTCCATAACTATTTCCTAGTTTCTCATACTTGTATGTTTGTGATTCTCCCAAGCATTGAAAAGATAGGAAGGAATGATGATGGCCAAAACATCACTACTCTCAATATATGTATTTTCATCATACAGTTTAAACCGCAATAGTATCTGTAAACAATTGTTTCCTGACCTCTGAGTGGGATACAGAGTTTGAGAAGAGGCAGATTTTAAATTTTAAAACAAACAAACAAAAAAGTAAATCCAATATACAACAGGATTATTGGGTTCTTTATATCACTACAAAAAAAGTTTTTTGTATATTTACTTGGTCAAGCTTTGCAATGACTTCCAAAATCCTGTACAGTTTAAAAATGTACAGGAAAGAAGTATTTTTAAACAACTGACACATATGATTATTGCTGAAATATTAAAGACTAGTTCATAAAAGCTTCAAAGTTGTATTTCTAATTTTAGTATATAGACTGATGCAAAAACACAGGAAATTTCCAGTTATTAGTTGCATTTAACAGAAGTTCTTGAAATTACAGTGTTCTGGAAATACAAGATAGTTTACTTTTATTATTATTATTATTATTTCCAAATGTTAAAACTGGGACAGTTTTAAAGATAAATAGGCTTATATGTGATATTTTAATAGATTTGCTGTTAAGCAGAATAAGCAAAAGGCCTATGTTAGCAGTTTCTTCCAGAAATTCTTATAAACATATTAGATAGATTTACTAGAGATTCTACAGGAAAACATGAATAATTTGTATGCCTGGAGTCAACCTAATGATTAGATTATCACTACCCTATCTCCAAACTTTGGAAGAAAATCTCACAACTCATGATCATCTCAAGGAGTACTTAAAATGAATTTTGTGTCTGACCTTGGTAATATAGCATTAAGAAAGAATTTCAAGCAGTAGACACACACAGCAATATATTTAAATTGGTTTTGTAGTTCCAAGCATCTGAACAGAAATTATGTAACATTTAATTTCATTAACATCAAAAAGACATATTGAATAGGATCCTCGCCAAAAGGATCGTCCTGGAAAGTTGACTTACACCACTGTCAAAGTGGCTTAAAAAAAAAAAAAAAGACAATTTTGATCATTTTCCAAAGTACAGCGTAATTAGTTCCTACTGATACTGATATGTTCATTCTTCACTCTCAGCAAATTCTTAGTGCAAACATAATATTTGAGCCCTGTAAACCTTTAGGCAATCTTCAGGATGCAACAATTAATTATTCTGAAGCCTGTTTTTCCTTATATTGTGGTGTGACCATGTCATTAAAATGTAATGTCCTAATTAGCTCCCTTTATTCAGAATCAAACTTAAGTGATCATTTTATACAAATTTAAGTAAAGAGACTTAATTAAGATCACCTTGTCATAGGAGACTTAGAACTTTAAAATGAAGGACTATTGCCTGGTTGAAGTCTGCTTAAACTAAATAAACTATGGAGGAAAATATTCAAAGCAAATGTTTGTGAAGTTTGTAAAATGATCACAAACTGTGCATCTTCATTGGTACCAATGTTTATCTCAATGAGTCAAATGGTTTGTGACATCCCAAATATCACAATTAAAGTAGTTGGTAATAACAAAGCAACCACAATTTTACCAACCTTTTTTTACTGTTTGAAGGATGCTAAGACTCTTAATGAATTTTGCACATTCAATACTAAAGGTACCGATAACATTCATGTCATTCACACAAAGTTGGATCTTCTTCTTCTCCATCTGGATTGAACCTATTGAAATGTATGCTGAAATCATGCTCAGATTCAACATTGCCAAGTTCACTTGAAGTAGAGGCGGTGGTGGCTGGGCGTATAGCCTTTGCTTCAGGGAGACAGTTGGCCTGTATTTGAGGATGGGCGCTTTGAGAACCAGGACTGGATTTCTGCTTAGGATGAGCTGCTTGGACAGTATTAGCAAATCCCAAATTGCTTAGAGCATCCAATGTTCCATCAGGGTCAATCATTGAATTGATCACTGAACAAACAGACAAAAGCAGGCAAGAAATCAGTTTGACTGCCTGTTAACTGATTTAAAATTACTCTAATATTACTCAGTCCTTTAATTTCTTCTTCATCTCATCTCTTCTTACAATGTTAATAACATTGGGAACAGTATAATATATCCAGATAATTTTGCAGAGTCTAAGATATTAGTTGCTATAGTTCAAGACAAGAGACAAAATTTACTAAGTAATAACCAAGGAATACTGTACATGCTACATGGTCCTTTCATGTGCTTATACCAAATCGAACAGTGTGCAGTAGCTACTTGTATGAAAATATCAATGCTGGAACATCACTACAGTCAGCAGGCAAGGTTCTTCCAAAAAACACAAAGGCTTATCCTTCTTATTGGTCTGCAGACACAATTGGAACATTGTTTTCTCTCTTGTTTAGACTCAATGATCATTCTTAGAAAATAGAAATGATGGATGGCTGAGGCCAGGGTTTGTTTGGAAGAGTTTCACTGCCCAGAAATAAAAGAGAGGGTAGGGGGGCATACTGGGAAGTCAGAGTGCATTCTAACCAGTTTGTCTAATTATTTTTTTTTTCTGCCTCCCCATGTCTACCTCGGCAATAATTCTGTGAATTGGCAAATCCTTTCTCTCTAGGCAGCCATTTTATAAGATCACCCAGTCTCAACTTTCTAGATGGTCCTACTGGCTCAAAAAGGTTCATATCCCTGTCTTAGTCCCCTATTCAAATCAAATCTTTATTTTGGTCACAGCAGTAACCAAAGATAATATAAAAATGAGAGTGGTACAATCATTCCCAGAATAACAATCTACACTATGAAATGAAGAACTAAGAGTTAAGCTTAACAATACAAAACTGTTAAACATTATAGCACTAAAATCTATATTCAGGAATTATCACTGGTATCCACTGTGAAGTTCAGTGGGTTTAAAATGACAGGTGCATATGGGCAAGAGAAGGCTTGCTCCTTTTTATGCATATGCAATGCAAGCTACGCACATTAAAAAGGGGCAGGGCTTTGATCCTAGACAGTATCCTACGGAGAATATGACTCTAGGCAGCATCTTACAGAGGAAAGCTAATTCACTACTAATTTCCATCCCATAAGCTAGTAAACAGCCTTAAAACCCAAATCCTCTTTTCTAACCTCTGTGTTATCTGCTTATTATTCTGCAAACCCCAATTCTAGAAATTGTTGGATAAAATATTAAATACCTTGCAGTTGTTTCTCCACTCTCTTCAATTCTTGCAATATTGATGAGATTTCCTACAGGAGCAAATATGTAGCTTTTACTAAGTTTCAAGGATGGAATACAAAGTAGCAATCCACATTTCATTCTGTTATTATAACAGTTGGTAGATAACACCTAAGTTGAGACTGAATAGAAACATTTAAGATTTTCATCTTTTCACACAGTGGAACTTCCTCACGTTATCCATGCTCATCTACTCTTCTCCTTATAACATT